TTTTGCTCAGACACGGCACCCTTAGGTGTGCACGGAATTCTGGCACGCAGGAATGAATATGCAGGAAGGCATTCAGAATTTGGCTCTCCAAAGCATGCTTTGCCACAGGCAGTGTGGTAAGGCCAGTCTCCTTGAAGTAACAGTGACGGTCTCCCGTGAGCACACACCTTGGTCATGGAGGAGGTGGGAACCGAGATATCTTCCCAACTAAAGGTCTGGTCTGGAGCACATTCCAAGCACAGTTTTACACGGAACAACTCTGTGCTGCATGAACCAATAATGAGCATGAGTCCAACACTGGAAGCCCTGCAGAGTAGCCCCATCCACAGAAAGAATACACTTCTTTCTGGAACGGCTTTGGGCAAGACTAGAGCATGGGCCTCCTGGGTGGACATCAGGATTAATTCAGGAGCAGAGTAGGTGAAGGTTTCTGTATCAGGTAAGTCCGTTATACACTAGAGCCCTTCAAGGCACTTCTTTCCCGCGAAGACTGGAAGATGGTGGGCTTCTGTACACCGCAAGGTGGATGGTGCAGCAGCTTCCTGATGTTCTGATACGAGTCACTGCCATTGGCACAGTGCCGGGCATCGTGAGGTCACAATGGCTGTCATCAGGACGACAAGGCTGGGTTCCTCACACTATGCGGAAGGGAGACTTTCCGATCTCAAGGTCTTTTCCAGCTCTGCCATTCTGAGATGCACCTAGGCACCCAGGAAAGATGGGGTAGGGTTGGGGGGCAGCTTGGAAGGATCCTCCATGGAAGCAACAAGAGGATGAGGAACAAGTCTACTGGACCTTCATAGCACAAACTGCCCCCTGCTGGGGAGGAAGCCTCCCTTCTCTCTGGCAGTGGGACGTGACTGCAGGGCAGACACCCCCATCGCACAGACACCCTGTGGGGGCAAGTGGCTGTGAGACACGTCTGCAAAGAGAGCCATAACCTGCACCCGCTAATGCAGAGCGGCCCAGCTGTGGTCAGGCAGTGCAGTGGAGGATGGGCCCGTGAGTCAGACTGGAGGGCACAGGACCGAGGCACCGTGCATCTGACAAGATGAATCAAGTGCTATTTGAATCACCTCTCAGTTGTCCAGTTCTCCCACAGCTTGCTCATTGAGGGTTTCCTACCATTCCTGAGCTGCAGCATTGCTTCCCTCCTCTCTAAAAACTCTCCAGCTGTGGAGGCTGTGCCTAGGGCAGGGGGTGCACAGAACAGACATAACTAATAATAACTAGGAGTTTGTGACAGCTTGCTATCCCAGGGCACAAATTCTAGCCTACTTATCTTTATCCCAGTGCCTTGTTTGGGGCTCATGACAGCTGCTCAACAGAAGTTTATTAAATGAATGGGTGGCCTTCTTTATGAATTATCTGTGGAAGTGTCCCTCCTCCAGAAATGTTTAATTGGCAGAGAAAATGGCTCCCTGCCCCCCTACCCCCAAGATGAGGAAGAGTCATTTCAGAGGTCAGGGGAAGGTGGGAGGGAGAGATGTCTTCACTCTCCAAGGCCAGCTGGTAAATGGGGAGCAACACCTCTTATTCAAGCCCTTGGGAAACAAGCCCTCACCCCACAGGGCCAGCAGGGGGGAGACTCTGCACTCAACCCCCTCACAAAAATAGTAGCTAGGCAGTCACCAGTCTCCTCAGTTTGCTGAGAGTTTCCCAGATCTGGAATTGAAGGCCTCCAACAAGCCTCCCACCAGAAAGGAGACTAAGTGGCTCATGTAGTAACTATTTCCTCACACTCTTGTTTAGACGTGGATCCGTGCACACAACCCTTACCCCAAACCACCAGCCTCCTCACCCCCCTTCAAAAACACCAAATAAGTCAAGGGCTGAGGCACTTGGTTCTGTAAAGATATTTCAAATTGATCTTGAAGCAACTTAAAAGGACTGTTTTTCTCTCTTGCCCCACACCCAGCACATTTTCTGTGGCAGCTGGGTCAAGCCTGAGCCATGTTTTCATCACTGACTCAATATCAAAGTATTCCCGGGCTGCCCTTTTCCATCCTCCCTTCACTGCCCCTGTTTCATTTTTTATATCTCTCCCCTTCCTCTCTACACACACCAACATACCACACACATGCCACAAACACACACACAAACACACACACACACACACACACTTTTTACAGTATGAACACACCATGGGATATGGATCCTAAACTTAGAGTCCTGCATAGAACTGAGGATTGTGTACTTGGATGGGGGGAAAAATATGCCTTGATTTTCACTAGCCTCGAACTGAAATACAGCATTCCCTTCAATTCTGAATGTAGGCAGCAAACTACATTAATGTCAGCAATATTCATGCCTCTGACATCAACAGAAAGACATACATGTTGCCCTGAAAGGCAGTTATAAGACTTCAAATAGAGCTTGCTATTTAACATGTTCCTAAACAAGTATTAAAGTTACTGTTATTTTTAAAAAATGGAGTCACTGTACTTCAGGAATTATTTTACATGCCTATATATTACTTTGTATCCATAGCACAGAATGGTTAAGATCCCCTGCTGTCCAGAGAGCATTAGAATGTGGGCTTGGAGAGAGTCCCCAAGGGGCTCTGAGGCAGTGCTCAGGGGTGGCATGAGGCACCCACCCTGGGAGCAGATGGCTAGCAGGGCTGTTGGGCCAGAGTTTGGGTGGCCTTGGGAGACAGAACCACTACATGCTCTGTCTAACCCACAGTGCAACTCTGGGCAAGACATTTCATCTCTTGGAGCTTCCAGCGCCTGTCAGCATCCATTCTGAGTTTTCTTCAACTGTGAAATGGGGACAATAATACACCATAAGAATCTATGAGCATGAATTGAGAAGATATATGTGTGGAAGAAATGACTGCTTGGTTGATGGTGCTGGGCTGACTCTAGAAGGTCAGCTCTCCCTACCTGGGGATTTCTGAGGCCTGGGTGTTTTGTTTTGTTCTGCTTTGTTTTTGAGAGAGGCACTATCTGCCCTATGAAGGCTCCCCATAACCTTGAGCTTCAGGGATGCACTGAAATGCTTCCAACAGAACACTTCTAGGCAGACCTGAGTCCCCTGCCTCCCCTTCTGACCCTGGTTCTTTGAAACAGGCACCTGAGCCAGACTGCAAAGCGGATTTCCTGCCCCGGAGCAGAAGAGACCACAAGTAAAAAGGAGATGTCCAGACCTTTCCAATATTGGTCACAGAAGCCAAAGCACTGGTCTCTGGCTTCACAGAGCAGCTGCTTCTGCCCGGTGTCTCTCCTCACGTGCTGAGCAGTGACAGGGATTCTGTAGTCCCAGGCGCCCTTCCCAGGGTGGGGCAGCACAGGACTGGACCTTGGCTGCCAGGCCACTGGGCAAGGAGGCTTCAGCAAGGCCGGTGGGAGACCTCGCAATGCCTAAGTTTGTGCAAGAAACCCCTCTACATGTCCCTTCCCAAAACTGGCTTCCAGGATGTTCAAGAGTTCCTTTGTGGAAAGTGGCTATGCAGTCTTTAAAAATCACATGTATTGATTTTCATCTGCTTATGAACTATGAAGATTAGAAAGCACAAAAAATAGAGAGCGAAATTAAAATCAACCATAAGCCTGGCCCCTTGAAATCAAAACAATTAGCACTGTGGTGAGTTTTTTCCCATTTACACCTACGTTGGCATTCTCACATAAATTGGGATCATAATTCTATACAGTTTTGTAGCCTGATTTCATTACTTACAAATACCTAGAGCCATTTTCAATACAGGCTCTTAAAAGACACAAAACCATTATATCAAACACTGTAAAACTCACAAGTGACTGAGACGTCATGGTATCACCAAGAGTAGTGTTATGCATTTAAATATAAGTTCTCCCCAGAAAACCGATAGAAGGAAACCCCATTTCACTCTTCTTAAATTGCCTATTATGTATGAAGTCAACTCTCTTCTTTAGCTCGGAGAGAATCTAGAGAAGACACTTTTGTGTCTTCGGCAAAGAGGCACGCTCTATTTTTCTTTTTTACTTTCTCATATGTCCCCTGATAAGGGGAAAGCTTTGAAAATTCACTGCTGGGAAAATGGGGTCTTGCTTGAGAAACTACTCAGCAGCTGAGGAAAAACCTCCAGAAAGAAGTGGTATGGAAGGAAGAGCCCTGAACTTCAAAGGGAAGAAAGCGGGATTCATGTGTCAAGTCTGCCATTATAGCCCCAAGATCAAAGAGCACCCGTTTCCCTGCCTGTCAGCAGAGACACCACCACCCACCTCCAAGGATCAAAGGGCCGCACAGATTAAATAAGACGCCGCCTGTGAAAGTGCTTTGTCAATGGTAAAAGACACTGCAGGACAATAATCACTAAGTCGCAACAGTATTATTATTTTTGTTGCTGAGCCGGCGTGGCCCACTCACTGCACGTCCTGGCAGGGGCAGTGTGCAACAGTGCAGAAGTGTGGACCATGGAACTGCCTGGCACTGCTCAGGTTGGCCGTTATTGACCTTGCGAGGTTCTTCATCTATAAAATGGGATAATGATAATACACCTATCTCCTAAGACTCTTGAGATGATTAAACTGCGTTAATTTACACGTGGTGCTTAGGACACTACCTGGAACATAATAAACACTATATAAGGGGAGCTTTAAAGTCAGTGACCAATGACCAAATATATGATTGAAATAGATCAGCCCAAACCAGTAGGCACATTTTCCTTTTTTTTTTTTTTTTTTTTTTTTGAGAAGGAGACAGAGAGAGAGCATGCACAAGCCAGGTGGGGGAAGGTAGGGAGGGGCAGAGGGAGAGGGAGAATCTCAGGCAGGCTCCATGTTCAGCATGGAGCCCCACAGGGGGCTCGATCCCACAACCTAGAGATCACAATCTGAGCTGAAATCAAAAGTAAGCCCCTCAATGACTGAGCCACCCAGGCTCCCCCAGCAGGCACATTTTTTTAAAGCTTTCCACAAAAGTATTAATCAGAAAGTTGGACTAGCAGCCTAAGTTTCCCTCAAAAGTTACATGCCCCCTCCCCCAAGTGCCGCTCGGTCCAGCAGCTCCCTTCCTACCTTCTCGGCGTCCTGCTCAAAAAGCCGCAGCTGGAAGCACTGGTCCAGCTTGAGCTTGCGCACGTGCCACATCTGGTGCAGGTGCTGTCGGGTGGAGTGCAGCTTGTCCAGGAGGCTGGTGATCTTGGGCACCAGGCTCTGGAAGTCGGCGCTGCCTGGGATACAGTTGCGCCCAGAGAACCCATCGCTGCAGCGGATACACTGCAGCAGCCGCTGCCCCTCCCGGTCCAGCTCCTCCACGGGGGCCTTCAGCACCTTCTTCTTGAGCTGCGTGTGCTCGTCAATGAGCCGCCTCGAGCCTTCCACGTCCACAGGGAACTCCTTCCGGGCCAGCATCTCCTGCAGGTCCTCGAGGCGGGACAGCAGGTGCACGGCGCTGTTGAAGAACTCCTCCAGGGAGAGTCGTAGCTCAATCCACTCCTCGTGGTTGTAGTCCAGGGAGCCATCGAACTCTTCGGTTAGCTGGGAAGGGTCCACCAGCTTCGTGAGGCCCTCCACGGACACCATGCTTGTCTGTGAGGGGCAGACACAGAGAGGGGGACTCAGTGATGTGGGGGCAGGCAGGGTAGAGGTAGGCAGAAAGTCAAGGGCAAAGGCTGAGATCCATACACACATTAATGACCACAGCCTGCCTTAGAAAGGGCAAGTACAAGAGCACACAGCCCGTGGGGTGGGAGCCACCAGCTGGCCAAGGTCAATGTTTCAATGGACTGGCTAAGAGTCCAGGACAATCTCTTGGGTCTCTTATTCCTTCCAAGACTCACTGGTAAGGCCACAATAGCCAAGGAATCCTGAAATATCAGCTCTTGCCATGCAGCATATCATAGGATAGGCGGAGAAGCAGAAGCAAGAAATGTGTGGGTAGAAGAAGGGGAAGTGAAAGGGGGAGCTATGAGAGAGGTGTGGCTCACCTCAAAGATGAACTTGGAGCTGCCAAAGTTGGTCTTCTGCTTCTGCCAGAAGTTGTCGGGTTTGATGATGAGAGCCACATGGATCTCGGCTGGAAAGGCTTCCTGCAGCGTCTTGAGAAGGGGCTTGATGAGGTCCCACTTGGAGCCCCGCATGTCGATGATGACAGTGAAGCCACGTTTGCACACGTCCTCGCTGCGGGGAGGTCAAAGGTCAGGCATGGTCACTCTGGGTGGCTGAGACTTTGGGGAACAGAGTCAAAAAACACCCAGAAACCCACATTCCTTTTAATCTAGACTACCCCTCCAATTTCACACCATGTCTTCTGGCTGCCTTCCAATCCAACTCAAAACGCACTGCCCCAGAAAACCGTTGCAGATGAACCCCATCTGAGCAAGGGCATTCTGGCTTCTCCAAGTACTTAGCAAGTTCTCAGCCTTCCCTATAGTCAATTGTACTTGTTTGGATGGTTACTGTTCAAGGGTTCCTAATTGTGTTTTACTTTTTTGTCTCATTTTCTTGCTCCTGGCATGAATCATGCTTTCCCCATTTGAATGCAAGCTCCCTAAAGACAAGGACCCTACTGCCCTTATGTGAGATGGAAAGTCTTTGGTCTGAGTTCTGCTCTTTCCTATGCCCACATCAATGACAGACACTGGTATGCTTTACCACTGAACCCAAACTGGGCCAAAAAAATCTTTTTCCATAAAGGGCTCTAGGCTGAGAGAGGAGCAAGATGGTGAAGGAGTAGGGGACCTAAACATCATCAGGTCCCAAGAGTTTAGCTAGATAGTTATCAAACCACTCTAAACACCTACAAACTCAACAGGAGATAGAAGAGAAGAAGAGCAGCAATTTCAGGAACAAAAAAAAATCGACCACTTTCCAGAAGGTAGGACATGCAGAGAAGTAAATCCAAAGCCACAGGAAGATTGACCGCAGGGGTAGGGGCCGGCTCCCGGTAAGCAGCAGAGCAGGAGAACACAAAATTGGAACTTTAAGAAGTCTGCCACGAGGAGGGACATAGCTCCAGTGGCTAAGTGGGGAGTGGGGGGTGGTAGAATCCTCACAGGTCTCAGGACCTTCAGGGTCACAGAAAGACCAGGGGTGTCTGAGTGTGGCAGAGCTTCCAGGTATTGGAGTAGGGAAGCCAGCTACAGAGATGGAGCCGAGGAATGAGCTTTCAGCTCGGGGTTGCCATAAACCATGATCTGAGACAAAGTCAGACCACTGCTTTTCGAGCAGGGACCCCACAAGTAGAAGATCTGGACACCCTCATTCCTCCACCAGGAGAAGTGGCACAGGAGCACACTGCAGGAATCTGCTGGGTTTGGAGACTCCAAAAGGGGCCGTGCGCCAGAGACAGAAATGCTCAGTCACAGGCTAGGTGAGCATGGAGTGCGGCCAGAGACCTGGGAGACAGGAGGGATTGACTGAGGAGTGGGGTCCTGAGCTCTCAGCTCCTATGGAGCTGGAGATTAGGATGCCGCCATCTTCATTCCCATCCTCCAACGCTATATGGAAAGCGTTCAGGAAACAAAAGCTCCCGAGATGAACCTGAGCAGATTACTTAGCCTGGCCCCTGGCAAGGGCGGTGCAATTCCGCCTTGGGCAAAGACATTTGAGAATCACTGCAACAGGCCCCCCCCCCCCAAGAAGATCAGCAAGAACATCTAGCCAAGACCAAGTTTACTTATCAGTGAGAACTGTAGAACTCCAGAGCTAGGGGAAAGCAACACATAGCATTCATGACTTTTTCCCCATGTTAGCCTTCAAAGTTAAATTTTTTAAATTTTATTTTTTTCTTATTCTATTTTTTATTTTTCCTCTTTCCTATTTCAACGTTCTTCAACTACTTTACGTTTTCAATACCTTTTTAAAAGCCCTTTTTAATTTTCATTGTTATAGTCCTATTTTATCTCTTCATTGTATTTAACCTTATTTTTTGTATACATATAGGGTTTTTTCCTTTAAAATCTTGGGATACAATTTCTTCTAATAGATTAAAATATACCCTAAATCTAGTGCATGGCTTTCTTCTAGTCTCCAGCCTGATCACATTCTTTCCTCTTTTTTTTTTCTTTTTTTCAACCACTTCTTATCAATTCCTTTTTTAGAATCTTTTTTAATTCTCATCTTTACAGTCATATTCCATCCCTTCATCATGTTTACCCTTATTTTTGTATATGTATGTTTTTCTTTAAAATTTACGAGGCAGTTTCTTCTAACAGAACAAAATACACCCAAAATCAAGTGTGTGGCTCTGTTCTATTCACCAGTCATTCATATATATATATATACACACACACACACACACACACACACATATATGTGTATATATATATATATATATATTTTTTTTTTTTCCTATTTTCTCCCCTTCCCTACCCCCTGTTTTGGGTTTCTTCCAATTTGTTAGTGTATATGTTTCTGGGGTCATTGCTACCCTCTTAGTATTTTGTTCTCTCATTCATCTATTCTTATCTGGATAAAATGACAAGGCAGAAAAACTCACCTCAAAAAAAGAACAAGAGGCAGTACCAATGGCTAGAGACCTAATCAATATGGACATTAGTAAGATGTCAGATCTAGAGTTCGGAACGACAATTATCAAGGTGCTAGCCAGACTTGAAAAAAGCATGGAAGATAACAAAGAATCCCTTTCTGGAGAAATAAAATCCCATTCTGGAAAAATGAACTAAAATCTAATCAAGTTGAAATTTTAAAAAGCTATTAATGAGGTGCAATCAAGAATGGAGGCTCTTACGGCTAGGATAAATGAGGCAGAAGAGAGAATTAGTGATATACAAGACCAAATGATGGAGAATAAAGAAGCTGAGCAAAAGACAGACAAACAACTACTAGACCATGAGGGGAGAATTCGAGAGATAAGTGATACCATAAGATGAAACAATATTAGAATAATTGGTATCCCAGAAGAAGAAAAGAGAGCGAGAGAGGGGCAGCAAGTATATTGGAGCAAATTATAGAAGAGAATTTCCCTAATTTGGCAAAGTGAACAAGCATCAAAATCCAGGAGGCACAGAGAACCCCCCTCAAAATCAATAAAAATGTATCCACACCCTGTCATCTAATAATAAAATTTACAAGTCTCAGTGACAAAGAGAAAATCCTGAAAGCAGCTTGGGACAAGAGGTTTGTAACATACAGTGGTAGAAATATTAGATTGGCAGCAGACTTCTCCACAGAGACCTGGCAGGCCAGAAAGAACTGACATGATATATTCAGAGCACTAAATGAGAAGAATATTATATCCAGCTAGGGTGTCATTGAAAATAGAATGAGAGATAAAAAGCTTCCAGGACAAAGAAAAACAAAAAGAATTTGCAAACACCAAACCAGCCTTACAGGAAATACTGAAAGGGTCCTCTAAGCAAAGAGAGAGCCTTAAACTAACCAACCAGAAAGGAACAGAGACAATATACAGTAACATTCAACTTACAGGCAATACAATGGCATGAAATTCATATCTTTCAATAGTTACCCTGAAAGTAAATGGGCTAAATGCTCCAATAAAAAGACACAGGGTATCAGAAAGGATTAAAAATAATAATAATAAAATAACAAGACCCATCGATACGCTCTCTTCAAGAAACTCATTTTAGATCCAAATACACCTCCAGATTTAAAGTGGGGGGTGGAAAACAATTTACCATGTTAATGGACATCAAAAGAAAGCTGGAGTGGCAATCCTTACATCAGACAAATTAGATTTAAAGCCAAAGACTCTAATAAGAGATGAGGAAGGACACTATATCATACTTAAAGGGTCTGCCCAACAAGAAGATCTAACAATTTTAAATATCTCTGCCCCTAACATGGGAGCAGCCAATTATATAAAGCAATTAATAACAACATCAAAGAAACACATCAGCAATAATACAATAATGATAGGGGACTTTAACATCCCCCTCACTGAAATGGACAGATTATCTAAGCAAAAGATCAACAGGGAAATAAAGGCTTCAAATGATACACTGGACCAGATGGACATCACAAATATATTTAGAACATTCTATCCCAAAACAACAGAATACACATTCTTCTCTAGTGCACATGGAACATTCTACAGAATAGATCACATCCTGGGTCATAAATCAAGTCTCAAATGGTACCAAAAGACTGGGATCATTCCCTGCATATTTTCAGACCACAATGCTCTGAAACTAGAACTCAAGCACAGGAGGAAAGTTGGAAAGAACTCAAATACATGGAGGCTAAAGAACATTCTACTTAGGAATGAATGGGTCAACCAGGAAATTAAAGAAGAATTTTAAAAATTCATGGAAACAAATGAAAATGAAAACACAACTGTTCAAAATCTTTGGGATACAGCAAAAGCGTTCCTGAGGGGAAAGTATATAGCAATACAAGCCTTTCTCAAGAAACAAGAAAGGTCTCAAGTATACAACCTAAACCTATTCCTAAAGAAGCTGGAGAAAGAAGAGCAAAGGAAGCCTAAATCCAGCAGAAGAAGAGAAATAATAAAGATCAGAGCAGAAATCAATGAAACAGAAACCAGAAGTATAGTAGAACAAATCAACAAAACTAGGAGCTGATTCTTTGAAAGAATTAATAAGATTGATGGAGCGCCTGGGTGGCTCAGTGGGTTAAAGCCTCTGCCTTCGGCTCAGGTCATGATCCCTGGGTCCTGCGATTGAGCCCCACATCGGGCTCTCTGCTCATCAGGGAGCCTACTTCCTTCTCTGTGCCTGTTTCTCTGCCTACTTGTGATCTCTGTCTGTCAAATAAACAAATAAAATCTTAAAAAAAAAAAAGATTCATAAATTCCTGGCCGGACTTATCAAAAAGAAAAGAAAAAGGACCCAAATTAATAAAATCATGAATGAAAGAGGAGAGATCATAACGAACATCAAAGAAATACAAACAATTATAAGAATATATTAGGAGCAACTATATACCAGCAAATTTGACAATCTGGAAGAAATGATGCATTCCTAGAGACATATAAACTATCAAAACTGAGCCAGGAAGAAATAGAAAACCTGAACAGACCCATAACCAGTAAGGAGATTGGAGCAGTCATCAAAAATCTCCCAAAAAACAAGAGCCCAGGGCCAGATGGCTTCCCAGGGGAATTCTACCAAACATTTGAAGAAGAATTAATACCTATTCTCCTGAAACTCTTCCAAAAAATAGAAATGGGAGAAAAA